AGTGTGAGAAGCTGGGGATGCAGAGTGTAATTGCAATTCTACAAGATGCAGGAAAAATTACTATCATAAGCAGAGCATGGTCCTTCCATAATAGGCAGCATTTAGAAATCTTTGAGTTGCCACATGCGGTGTTCCTCTGTGTTTCTCCCTCCAGGTGTCCGTTAGTGAGGGAGTCCTTTATCTTCTCCTTGATTGGGTGGATTTATTTTCTCTCTAGGGCATGTGGGTGGATGAGCTGAATGCACTGTATGCCCAACCACCATGGAAGGTCCTTTTGCTCCTGTGCACAGGGCAAGACATAGCAGTTCAGGTCTGGAGTCTGGGATTTTACTCTTCAGGTGGCCTTGGGTACCCACAGAACATGGTCTACGCTCTTCAGCTGTGCTACTTGGATTATGTCAAACTCAATGCACGAGTCATTTCAGGACACTGAAGTCTCAAAGAGTGGCAACGAGCCTCCGGATTCTGTTGACTGCTCAAAACCATTATTTATTAATGATGAGGCATGGCTTAGGAATTGTTGCAGATCTAGATTTTGGGTTGTCAGTATAAAAGCCAGTGTATCATCTGTCACTGGAAATTCTTTACACCTGGAGTGAGGTTTTGTTGCTGTGCCCCCTTTCTTCCTGGAGAGCCCCTGGAGAGCGCAGTTCTGCAGACACACAGACCTTTATTTAGGTCAGAAGAATAGCAGCAGAATTGTACCCTGTAAGGAGAAGCCAAGGTTGAAACCCCACCCTCCACAGGAAATGCCCTTGGTAGCAGCAGAGCAACTAAGAAGATGCCTGTTGACCAGGGCTTTCCTGTCTACTATGCTGCAAGGAATCCTTGGAGCTCTTGATCCCTACACAGCTGGGGGTCCTCTGCTCTTTCATTCTCCAGTCTCTACTTTTCAATCTTTTAGAGCAGTGGCTCTGACCCTCCCTAACGCTGCAACCATTTAATAATAGTTCCTCATGTTGTGGTGACACCAGACCATAAAACTATTTCCTTGCTACTTCATTAGTGTAATTTTGCTACTGTTAGGAGTCATAATGTAGACACGTGCTATTCCGGATATCTGATGTGCCACCCCCAAAGAGGGCTCGACTCACAGGTTGAGAACCGCTGTTTTAGATGGAGCCAAGAAATGCTCCATTTTTATAAAATTGCAATTTCAAGGGCCTGGAAAGCAGCTCAAAGGCCAAGGCTGTAAAATGTCCCTTCAGTTGTCACCTGGCTCCCTCATGCACTTCCGTTCCGTCACTTGTGAACAGACATGTGCTCACAGGCCGCTGTGCTTCATCTGTGGCGACTTTGATTTATTTGTTCAGTAAATTGGGACCAGAGCAATAATGGAAAGTGACATTAATTGTTTAACAGAGTCCTCTTTGTCACATCCATTGCCTTCTCTGGGACGATGACTATTGAAACTCACACAAAACTAATTGAAATTGCCACAGTGACGGACAGCCTGCACTCAACTTTATGTGTAAGAATATTTGTTAGTCTTTACACAGAGGCTCTTATAATTAATGAAAAAAAAAGTTTGAAATCATAACACTTATTCTTCCAAACTTTAGGAGAAACATACTAAAATAAATGGTCTTGGAGCATACAGGGATAGCGAACATACCTAACACTCATTTTCAGTTGACACAACTCTTACTGGCATGCGCTGGTTGAATAGCAGCCTTTCCTGCCCAAGCATCTCAGCAACACATGCACAGTCACTGTGACAACCTTCCTTTCACAAGCCCTCCCCATTGTGCTTTCAGGAAAGATTAGTATTAAAATAGTTGGTGGTTTAATCAGATCTTGTAAATTAATTATGACATTATCAAGCGCCAATATTTCTGCCAGTGTGCAGCATACATTCACTTATTAAAGGAATTGGTGGAAACTAGTTAATTTAAGTGTTCTTTGTCATTTTGACTTGATTGGAATTATCAGAGTTTGTTTACACAAGGGATAGAGCTCAGGCGCTATTGTATTCTGTGATTGAAAGCAAATAGCAGCTTGTAGTATCACTGGAAAGCCAAACACAAAATTTACATCAGGGTAAACAAATCACCCATTTATTGGTAAACACTCTTAACAATTTTTCTTCAGTTCTTTTTTAACTTCAGTGAACTCAGCCGTTTTGAGAATGGAATAGGTATTCATGAAAAATGTTCAGTTTAATGAAAGTGCATCTGTAAGCATATGTACTTGAGATGTCTTTTATTATTTTATTAGAAAATACAGTCACTTATTGTAATACAAATCTCATTATTTTGATACAATTTATGGTAGCATATTTTTTTTAAATATAAAAATATAACTTTACTAAGAAAAGTTTTATGACTTGCATTTGTTTCTCTGTTTTGGCATGTGGTAATAATTAAAATTTGGGAATATTAAAAATGAAGTCATTAGAATTTTTTGGATACTAGATTATGATATAAAGCAGCAAAAGGAAAATATTTTACTGTTTTTATTATTAGGAGCATATGGATAGATACAGAAGAACTGGGAGAACAGAGGGTTTGTGTTTTTGTTTTTTGTTATTGGGCAGTTTAATTGTTTTATTTTTAGGGTTTTAAAATTTTTTTATTATTATCATTTATTACAATTTATTCAATTTGTATCCCGGCTGTGTCCCCCTCCCTCATCTTCTCCCAATTCCACCCTACCTCCTCTTATCCCCGTATGCTCCTCTTCTAGTCCACTGATAGGTGAGGTCTTCCTCCCCTTCTGTTTGACCCTAGCCTATTAGGTCTCATTAGAACTGGTTGCATTGTCTTCCTTGTGGCCTGGCAAGGCTGCGCCCCCCAAGGGGAGGTGATCAGACAGCCTGTCACTGAGTTCATGCCAGAGAAAGCCCCTGCTACCCATTTTAGGGAACGCACTTGGAAACTGCTGCCCATGGACTTCCTCTGAGCAGGGGGTCTAGGTCCTCTCCATGCATAGTCCTTGAGGTAGTCCATCTCTGCAGGGCTCCCAGGTCTCAGTTTTATTGGCTCTGTTGGTCTCCTTTAGGAGCTCCTGTCCCTCCTAGTCTTTCTATCTCCCCCGCTTTTATATGATTCCCTGCACTCTGCCCGAAGTTTAGCTATGGGTCTCAGCCTCTGCTTTGAAACCTCCATCAGTAGAGTCTTTCAGAGGCCTTCTGTGGTAGGCTCCTATCCTGAAAGGATGTTCACTTGACGGATGTAATGCGCCATTTGAAAGGAACTGTGGACTTCTGGTCGGATTTCTTTTCTTCATTAGAATTTAAGATTCAACCCATTTGTCATACTCTAATGTACACGCTTAAAGCACATGACTATAGTCTCAAATCAGGGGGCAATAGGGACATATCACACGCAAATGTAACAAAGCTTTGTTAACACCTACAGAGAATAAAATGTCTCTTCTTGGCCTCTTGAATTCAAAAGAAAACAAAGTCTGTAGTTTGACTTCCAAATAGAGACTGCTCAGTAATGAGGGAAAACATTTTTTTTTTCCATGTGAAAATAGAATGACTACATGATAAGGCCCTGCTTAATTTCTCTAGTAATACAATTTGATTTTCTGATTAGCTGTCTTTTTCTGTGATTCTTGTAATTTTGTCAGGTCAATTAACTGGAGTTCAGTGCTAGTGAGAAAGGAAGTGTGGGCATTGCCAGCTTCATTAGATGTCAGCAACTTAGGTGCGTTTTGTAATAGAACCATGTGGGATAATTTAGCCATATTGTTAATGTCATAACTTACAGAATTTGCAAGAAACAAAAAATCAGAAACAGGTCAAATTGTACAAACAATGCAGAATGTTAAAGGAAAGAAAAGAAAATGATGGTACATAGTTCTGTGGATGCCAATAAATGCCATCAATGAATTATTCTAACTAACCCATGTGCCCAGCACTGGGGCTAATTATTACATGCATAGGCAAGAACACATTGTTATATTTGCAAATACAGACATTCCAGTTTTTGTACAAGGACACCAAACTAATGCTGTCTTTTATATAATGTATCCTTAGACTGTTTTCCTTTCCAGTAGAGTTTGGTCCCATTTCTCTTTCTATCTTCAGTCCTTACCATGACATCCCCAAGTAATGTCCTCAATAATGTCTTTGTAAGGCACAATTCAAGATTAGCTTTGTGTGAACGTAAGTAAAAATGAGTTCAGGCAGAAGGACAGCCAGTCACAATACATTGCAGAAGCCCCTACTAAAAATCTTATCACCCTGGAGTTATGCTTCTGGCATGAGAGATGAGTCTGTTCAAGATACAGCGCTAAAGAAAGGTTTCCCTTTAGGGACTGACTTCATAATAAGAAGCCCAGGCATTCCAGAGCACAATCCTGAAGAACTGATAGCCAAGCTAAAGAAGTTAAGAGAAAGAACAGTTTTGCTATGGAAGGTCCCAAGTTTGGGTTTTGGAGACAAGAGATTCGTTATTTGGTGGAAGTACTCAGTAGGCAGAGATTTGACTTAAGTTGGGAGAGATGTCAGGGAGAGATATAAATGATTTGGGGAGTGCACAATGATGAGATTATAATCGAAGTCACAGAAGTGTGGCTCTTCCCTTAGTATAGTTCAAGTTTCTGATGGTATTCAAGTGAAAAGTTATCTAAATATTTGGGGTGGCATACTGTGTTGGAGATCTCAGAACTGTATATGAAGATTAGATGATGCTTAAAATTCTCTCAAGGCCTGATACTTCCTAAGTTGGAGGCTGAAGATAAGGATGTGAAAATGACTATGAATACAGCAGACTTACATGCAACAGTATTAAGGACCAACCTAGCAGGTTGCCAAAACATAGCTCCAAAATCAGTAGATGCTGGAAATCATATGATTCAGGCTAAACATGAGCTATTAGTTGGAAGAAGATGTATCCTTTGTGTTCTAATGTGGGCACTAAGATTTCAATTGTACAGGTTCCTCACCCACCCGGACATGTTCAGCCTATGCGGATTAATCATGGTGCCTACTTCCCCCTGTCAACTCACTCCTGACTTGTGTGGTTTTTCTTTTTTTTCTTCTTCTGCAGAAGATAGATGAAGAGAATGAGGCAAACTTGCTAGCGGTCCTCACAGAGACACTGGACAGTCTCCCTGTGGATGAAGACGGATTGCCCTCATTTGATGCACTGACAGATGGAGACGTGACCACTGACAACGAGGCCAGTCCTTCCTCCATGCCTGACGGCACCCCTCCACCTCAGGAGGCAGAAGAGCCGTCTCTAGTAAGAGCCGTTCCTACTGTAACAGTGGTCAGAGTTGCCTCGGCTGCACAATGCATGGCTATTGTATAGGAACAATTAGGCTTGGATTTTAAATTCAGACCAAAGTGAAAAGAAATCCATAAGCCAGCCTAGATTTGCCAATTCTGTGATTTTTCTATTAAAAGTGTTAATAATACATTTCTTACATGATATAATGAAAGATATTTATTAAAACAATCCTTTACTGTTAGGTATGTGATTGAATATTTTAGAATTGTTAAAGTTCATGTTAAAGACATAGAGAGGAGATCTAGAAAGAAAAGACTAAACATTCACCTGTGATTTTTAAAACCTTATCATATCAAAATGTGTTTTTGATTTAAGATTTAAGGTGGATGTCATTGATTTTTTTTATTTTTCACTTTTCTCTAAACCTTTCCATGCTCTCACCATTCTCTAATTAATAGCCTATTTTTCTTCAATTACTATTACTATATTACATGTAGCATATATGTATATATATATATATATATATATATATATATATATATATATGCACAAGTATGTACGTACAACCTGCCAAATCTGTTTTTGTTGTGTGTATGGTTTCAGCATAAGCAGAACTTTCAGTGGCTATATAATATCTTTTGTATGGGGATGCTATGACTTATTAGGAAATCCACTATGATGAGATACTTAGTTTTTTCTTTCCATGGTTTTGATGTTACAGATTTGTAATAACGTTTACATGTATTTGCATGATTCTACAAATAGAATTGCAAAGTCAGGCACTATGCTATAGTTTAGAACTTTAGATCAGCATTCTTTATGAAGATAGAAAAATAATATCTCGTCTGCAGCCCAGGTTACTGAAATTTGTGATAGGCAATGGAGAGGGAATTTGTTGGCCAAGAGGAGTGAGTTTTCTTTTCAACAAAATGCTTGACCAGAATTTTATTAGTTCTGAGTGCAGTTTGCCTCCTCATCTATGATAGCCATTTGTCATTTGCCATAAATCTCCTGGAAGAGCAATGCTGTGTAAATTATGGAATGCCATTGTTCTAACATTAATAAAATACTCTGGCATGCTATTTGGAGGTTGATTCTCTCAAATCACTAAGTCTGAAGGAATTCTACATGAACATATGGAGACCTGCTTGTCTCCTCCTTGTATTCTGCGATTTCTGCTCTCGAGGAAAATATTACACATGTAAATTAATCCTTGCTCACTATGCTTTCCATGTGTCACTAGCTCTGTGGTTTAGTATCCTAATTTCTTAACAAGGATTTGAAGATGAAAATCTGTATGGTTTGTTCAATTGGGAACAAACTGTTGTTGAGTCAGACACCTGACATGTCAGATCAGAAGGTTCTTGAGAGTCCCTCATCCAAAGGAAGAAACTGGGGCGGCGAAAGAGGAAGTGCTAAGCTTGAGCAGTGTAAAGCACACCTGTGGCTGCTTAGGAGGCTGAGGGAGAAGTCAGTGTCAGAGCTGCCGGAGGAGGCCCTGACTCCCAAAGCAAAGACACAAACAAGCTACATCTAGGCCACTGAGCAGCCTAATGAAAAATTCTTTTCTTTCTCCCTCCAGCAATAGACACTGCTGAAATCCACATTTTTAATTCATCAGTTTATGTATTTAGTTAGGAAACGTGGTTCAGAAAACATTTTCATTGATTGTCCTGTGAGTTTGATGGACATAGAGAAGAAGTGTTAGATTGTAACTCGGCCTCCACAGCTTTGGTGGGCAAGGCGGCCTTCCTTACCTTGTGTAGTACTGTTTTGGAAATCTTTTTAGGAATTGTTACATCATTATTCTATGTAAAAATAATTTAAAAATTGAGGATAACAAAAAAAGGAAATATTTTTCTAGGTCATACTGTGATGCTAAAAATCTTAGCACCATTCTTGTGCTAAGGTGTGATATAGTTAGAGAAATATAATTAGATATATTCAACTTTCAGTTACTAGTTTGAAGCTTAGAAGATGTATAACTTTTCTTACTTTGCCTTTTCCTGGTATCTAGCTTAAGAAGCTCTTACTGGCACCGGCCAACACTCAGCTCAGCTACAATGAATGCAGCGGTCTTAGCACTCAGAACCATGCAAACCACAACCACAGGATCAGAACCAACCCCGCAGTTGTTAAGGTGCACATGCACGATTTTAATACAGGGGAAAGCAGAGGCAGGGTGGCGTGGGTTGGGGCTGGGGTGGGGAATAGGTGTTGTATGATTCTGTGTAACAGACACAAAGTTTGGATGTATTAATTTAGGCCGGGGCGGGCAGCTATCTCGAGGGCGGTAGCAGAAGTGGGTCTCCAAACCCCACACTGGGGTTTGGGGAAACTAGGATGAGTTCTCCTATGCACTGTTTCTGATGCTGGGAATGTGTAATTCTTTCCCCACTGGATTAATACAAGCAGCGGTCTGCACGATTTCCTGGTAGTCTGGTAGCTGTGGTCTGTGGATGACTTTAAGATGCAGGATGGCTGCTTTGCCAGCTGTTTAACCTGAGAAAGATCGTTTCAGATTCACTGCAAAAGATTCGTCTCTGCCATTAATTGGAGAAAACGCTGGCAATGACATAATTCAGTTAGCGGGCTGTATTAAACAATGTTTGTCTTGCCATTCGCTCTGAGCGAAAGCGGAGCGTTAAGGGGTACTTAAGAGAGTTGTGAATACTGGGCCTCAGCAATCAGCGGTAAATTAAGGTTTAAAGCAGCTTTTTTTTCTTTACTCACAGTAAAGGCGCTGTAGGGTCTTGTTAGTTACATGTTGCTGACTATGAACATCGGGATATAGGAGAAATGAAATAAAAAGCTGCATAAATGGCATTTAGGAATTTTAAATGTAATTTTCTTCCTTGTTCTGCAAACAATTATTCACAGCTCATAGATCCTGTACACTTAGACTGAGCACTTCACTGAAAAATCTCCTCTCTTCAGAAAACCTATATCCATTCTGATAAGGTTCACTTCACTAATTTTAGCTTTCTTTATGCCTTGTTTTTAAGACCGAGAATTCATGGGGCAATAAAGCAAAGAGCATTTGTCAACAACAAAAGCCACAGAGACGTCCCTGCTCAGAGCTTCTCAAGTATCTGACCACAAACGATGACCCTCCTCACACCAAACCCACAGAGAACAGGAACAGCAGCAGAGACAAATGCGCTTCCAAAAAGAAGTCCCATACACAATCGCAGTCGCAACATGCTCAAGGTAGGCCATGCCAGGGACGGAGTGCAGCCAGCAGGGGCATTGAGTGAAGTCTGAGCACGTGGACCCTGTGCTTCACCCCCGATCTGTGTTTGTCTGGAGCAAGGGGGTGGGGGTGAGGCTCCTCCACGGACAGATTGAATGTATCCCATTCTACTGCAAGGCGGCATGAGAAACAAGCTCCGAAAGACACCGCATTATTAGCAGGGTGGAGTGGGGCCGCGGGGATTACAGCACCTTTGAGGTTTATACACATCTGCGTTATTGAGATCTTTGACTGTTGTATGCAATTGCTTGCCAGTTCTTTACGGGACTCTTTCCAGTCGTGGAAAAAAACGAGACACTGGAGATCTCCTCCGTCTACCTTGAGAAGCAGTAAATAGCATTTATGTAGTCTTTCTGATTAAGTGCGTTCTTGTTTTTACTTTGTAAGACCACCTGCTATGCTCACAGATTTTACTTTGCATGTAAGAATTTGGAAGTTCCTGATTTCCTCTGCCCTTTGTATTTAAAAAATATTACCTAGATTAAACAAAACATCTGGGATGATCTTTATAAGTCCCATCTGTAGCCAGGAGGCTGATGCTTCCGAGGCAGATTCGGTGATTTGAGGAAAATCTCTCTTGGCAGGGATACAGTTTTCTCTATCACCTCTTCGCCTTCCAAATGTTGAAGTTCAGGAAGCAGAAAGAGAGTTTGCTGAAAGAAATTGTTGCTTTTAAGCATCCCAGCTTCTGCTCTCTACCTGGAATCGTGTTGTATTAGCAGGCAGGTTCCCTAGTAACTACAAACATCCCTCTCTTGTGTTTATGGTTCTCTAAGTTACAGCTACAGGATTGTAATTTCTGGCTGGTTTAAACCATGATCATTTCATATAGGTCTGCTGCCGCTGCCGCTCATGACTTTAATAAGGATATCTTTCTTCGGGTTTATCATTCCTCTGGCTTCCTACCTTGCAGGACTTTTAGGAATATTCTTTTAGTTGTTTAAGTTGGCTCTCCATTAGTAGTTTTTGTTTGTTTGGTTTTTGTTTGTTTGCTTGTTGTTTCCTTGGTGGATGTGGCAAATTTGCTGTTCATCTCTGATTGTGTCTCTGGGGGGCTAAATGTAACTAAATGAGCCAAATGCCCTTTCAGCTCCCTCTGCCAGGATTGGCCCCTGACCACAAGCTCTGTCTTTGCTGTGTTAGTCTTGTGTTAGCAGAGGAAATGATGTTGGAGACTTAGGGAAAGGATCCCACTGAACATGGTCTAGTGAATGAGTAAAGAATCTATTGGGCTCCTCCTGACCAGTTCCCAGATATATGTTCATTTCCTGGAGCTGAATCAAGATTTTCAGGCTCTTTAATCTCCTGTGTTCAGGAACCTGGTCAACTGGTCAATTGGCATGTAATTTAAATTTTTTTTTTCTCTCTCCTCTCTCTCTTCCTCTCCCTCTCTTTTTCATATCTTTTTTTTTTTTGAGATATAATTTTGAGATTTTCTTAAGGTTCTCTTATCATTAAATATTACTGTAAACTTTTACAAACCATGGTATTGAACAATTAAACAGTCCCCTGGAAGATGGAATCTCTGAAGGAGGCCAGCTATATGCAGAATTTTAAAGTATAGATCTGTGGTAAGGCCTAAAAGGCTCATCCCAGAACAAAGCCTGCTGATTCAAAAGAAAAAGAAATCCCATAGTTATTAGAAGCTTGGGATAAATGAAGCCTGGCCTGCTATTAATAACCAGTAGGTGCATACCCTCCAAAATTAGTTAGGTTATTCAAAATTAGAAAGCAGAAATCACATGAACAGTCAGAGATTATTGTGAAGTGGATAGTTCGGTGAATTTCTTCCTGTGTTGGTGTGTTCCTGACTGGCCTTTTGGTCTCCTCTTTGTTATGTCATAGCATCATGCACTTTTTGGTTCTTTAGAATAATTACCTTGCTAATGGCATGTGCTGGGGCTCATTCATTCATTCACTGACATGCATCTTTAGTTATAAATCTCATCTACATAAAGAGTAACATGAGGGTCCTAGCAGCCTGTGGTCAGGAAGTCCTTGGAATAGCACTAGTGTAAATCTCTGTCAGTGAAATCAGTGGTTCTGATGAGATAGCATGGCAAGCCAATGTCCAGTCAGGGCTTCCATTCTGAGAGTGGCTGGAGGACCGATGGCACCCTTGGTAGGCCTTTCATTTCCTACTTGCCTCTGCTGGCATTGAGCATGGTTGTGGCCAGGTTTCTCCCTCTGTTGCTCTCGGGACTCCCTGTATCTAGCTATCTGTAGTTTGAAGACATTTATATGAGAATTTAGCATGCCCTTTCTACATCTCCATTTGTGGTATTCAATGTACATTTATTCTGTGATTTAGCTCTCTGTTCCTTATCAGGTAGTATTTTCTATAGAACCTGTGTAAATTATTCTGGCTATTAGCAAAATACCATAAAAGTGAGTAAAATCTGTTCATAAATTCATTCTCTTTGAAAGGCTGATTAAATTAGCCATACTCAAAAATTAATGTTCAATCAGCTCATCTATCTATATATATGTAAAAGCCAATTAATCAATGTACCTAATTTGTAGAAGACATCATGAGCTTTATATTTCTGGATGCACATTGGATAGATGATATACTTACTATTCAATTGTTTAAAAACTAAGTCCTAATCTACAAATTAAATATGTAAATACTATTTTTCATGTAAAGTACCGTATTCCAGACTAATTTGGACATAAATAATATTTTTATATCTCAAAGGACCTTAATTACAAGGGTTGATTAACTGAAAGTGCACTGAATTCAACTCCTTTTGATAATAGGAGGAAGGAAACGTCATAGTGTCCAACTCTGGCAAGATTCAGTTTTATGGTCATGTAGGCATCATTTAGAATCTTTGTGTCTCAGAGTATTAAACCATAAAGTAAGAAATTATTGCAGAGACCCTTTTTGTTTCAACTATATGATCCTCATTACACATGTAACTACCTCTTGACCTTCTGAAGGCAGTTAACAAAAAAAAATGGACAAAAGATTACATGCATACATCTCCATAGATAAGCATATATATACATAATATATTTCTCATCATCTATTTTCTTCCCACTCAAAGTACAAGATTGACATGGACAAGTAGTTAACATTTTAGACCAGGAAGATTCCTACTCATGCAGTTCTTGTTGAGAAAAGACATCTAAGGAAGTAAGATTCTGAGATACTCAAGAAGCAAAAAGAATAGTGAGCTTTAGAAAAAAAATTCAGTTAAATTTCTTTTAACTGAAAAATATGATCTCTTCAGTTGTCTATCATATTTGGGATGCAGATGCCATTTAAGCTTTCTTGATCGATGTCCACAATTTGTCATCATCACTCAGCTAATTTTCAGTGAATAGGATGGTTATTGCTTGAGCCTTAGACATCTCATAGAAATTTTCTATTCTCAGGGCTAGATATAAAACTGTACATTTTAGGAGTAAAATCAACTGAATATTCATAACGATCTGTCACCTTGTAGTTACTCTGCTGTTTCCTTGTCTAAACAAACCATGTAGTGTTTCCAAATTAAAAACAGAAAACAATATTTCTCTTTGATGGTATGATGCAAATTTTGTGTCCTTAACGAGATAGTGCATTTGTTGGAAAATTCTGTGTTTGTATGTGTTTCCTAATGCTATTTTACTGATTGAAATGCTGTTTGGAGTTTGTTTTAGCATAATGGACTATAGTCTGAATTTTAGCCAACATTTAGGGATTTTTTCTTTCTTTCTTTCTTTCTTTTTTTTTTTTTTTTTTAGTTTATTCTTCCAGTTGCCTGGTTGTTTCCAACTGTGTATAGCAGAAAGTCAATCTGAAAAAGACTCGCTATTTTATAATTAGTTTCTTCTTCTTTCCTTTAGCCAAACCAACAACTCTATCTCTTCCTCTGACCCCAGAGTCACCAAAGTAAGTATTAAGAAGTGCAAGCATTTTCAGAAAGGGAAGGGGGTTCTAACACATTTGGCTACAGCAACTCCATTTCAGTTTGTTTTTATAAATGTGCCATATCTTCCAGTGACCCCAAGGGTTCCCCATTTGAGAACAAGACTATTGAGCGAACCTTAAGTGTGGAACTCTCTGGAACTGCAGGTAAGCTTTTATTTCAGTTGGAGCCTCTCTCTGTGAAATACATACTGGAAGCTAGGCTATGATTTAGGTGGGATCGCTGAAGAGAGTACAAGTGGAACTGGATAAGAAGTTACCTGCAAAGTAACTTTAGTTGCTTAGTACAAAAACCAAAACAAAAGAAATATTGAATTGAAAAATGTTTTAAAGAGCTAGTATTTGCTTGCTATCAGAACTAGCCCAGACCCTCTGATACATGGTTTAGTTATGGAGTCTCAAAAAACACTACTTTAGGTTAAGACACCAAAACATTAGTAGGAGGAGAACTGAACTTTTTTTTTTTTTTACCAGTTTCTCATTTTTAAAACTAACAATATTTTTGTAAATTCTTTGAGAATATTATACAAGTATTTTGAGTATAAGTATTATATAAGTATTTTGAACTTAACATCCTTAATTTCTTACCCAATATTTGTACCAGAAATCTAAATGGTTTCAGTCAAGTCCACAGAGACCTCATTATTATAGAGGTAGTTTTTTTCAGTTTTTAGATGAGAAAAGAAGAGTTAGTGATATTAAATAATATGTAAAAGGGCACTAAGATAGAAAGCAATCCAGACAAGGCTTGAATTCAGATTTATTAACTACCAGTACTTGATGTATATTTTCTCACTCTTTGCCATACTTAGTAACACAACGCTATCATATATATTTCTATCTATCTATATCTATCTATCTATCTATCTATCTATCTATCTATCTATCTATCCATCTATCTATCTACCTACCTATCTATCTGTGTATCTATTATGTATTAATCTATCTATATATTTATGCATATAAACACACACACAATTTTTATCTTTCTAGAAAAGGAGAAGATTTAAAATATGGCCTTTCCACAAGCCACAATGTTCTTGTATATTTTTCAACAAGAGTCCATTCTCCATCATTTGAGACTTTTGAACTCCTCTATCTAGTCCTTGTATCACACAGGGGCAAAGTAGCTAAAGACAAACTCTTGGACTAAGTAAAGAGTTCCTAGACACTCTTCTGAGTGTAAATGGTGCCTTAGATTGAGGCTCTTGACATCCACCAAGGAGTGAGTCTTAGGTCTAGACCAGAAAGTCCTTGGCTCTGGGCATTGCTGATAAGAATAAAGGAAGAGTAAATTAGACAAGATGCTTTCGGCCAGAACTGTGGTGCCTACACACACCACAGTCATTGTTGCTAAGTTTAATTTCACACTTTGAGTTTGCTAAATTACCTTCTTATCAAAGGTCTACTGCATGATTGCATGGTTTGGTCAGGCAACAGAGTAGTTAATTTCATGGCCTATAAATAGTGTGTGTATGCAGATCGCACACACACATACACACACACAAATATACAAACAGGTTTGTGTATGCATTCATACATTCATGCATGCATTCACTTGCAAGCATATACATAACTTCATTTCTTTCTGTAACATTTTATTTTAGTTTTTCCAATTACGTTTATATGTGTATGAGTGTAGATTTGTGCACGTGAGTGCAGGTGCCCATGGTATTCAGAAGGGAGCATTAGATCCTTGTGGAGCTCGAGGTACAGGGTACAGGTGGTGATGAGCTACCAGACTTGGGTGCTGGAAATACATTTCAGGTCTTCTGGAGTAGCAGCACATGCTCTTTACCATTGAGCCACCTCTCTAACTGTTATCTTGACTTCTTAAATAAACTGCAACGTATATACATCAATAGAAAGAACTTTAGTGTGTGCATATCTGTTTGAGAGGCCTTCTTATTTGACCAGCAAAGACAAATAATTGGTGAGTTTGTATGAAAAGCTGATATACAATTCTTCATTTTACTTTTGCTTGAAGCATGGGAATATCCATTCAAATATCCCACTTTTGTTAGGAGACAGAGAGATTGGTGCTGGGCTTCAGTGTGCTCACCACGAATCCATCCATCTTTTCTTGCACAGCTATCGTAGAGTTTTCTATTTCTTACTTCGTGATTTCTGAGGGATGATCATCTGAGTGTAAATCGTTTTTCTTGATTTTTTGTAAGATTTTTGAGTGCTTTGCAGTAACACACACACTTATTTGACAGTATCTGTTCTAGAAATTTACATTAATTGTGTCTTTTAATAGCAACAAATTTTGTATTCATAATCCGTTCGCTTATATAAAACTTTGTCATCTTACAGAATGCCAGTCACTGGGCCAACACATATTAGCAGGTTTGAGAAGATACAGCACTGGGCACCTCAATAAAAGTTCAGCTGAAATGGATCTATTAATTGGGAGTGTCCAGAACTTATGAAGTTTGTTTCTCTGTTTCTGAAAGGGCCAAGAGAACTTCCCTAATTATGTATCAATGCCTGGATTTCCATTAAAGAATTTATTATGAGTATAAATAATGTCAGCTAATTAGAAATGTCATAGATATAAGTCAGTTTAACAATTCTTCATAGTTCTAAAAGGAAAATACTAATAGCATTGTTTTCTACAGCTACATGTGATTGTGACCACATGTACGTCAGTGAATGCTTATATAATGTTACAGCCTAAGTTTCCACCTAAAGTCAGCTGTTTTTTGTACCACCTCAAAGTCTATTATCAGAATATAAAAGTAATATATAATAATCATTTGATTAGATAAATAGAAATGTTTTCTCAAATGCTTATTTTTAGATGTTTGGGCTGCTTTACAATTTTACTACTTTGAAACAGTGCTATGGCATAAATTTTTGTGCATACATTTAAAAATCTTCAAAATAAATTTTTAATAGTTGTTAATGCAAAAATAAGCATTTGATTATCCTTGGACATTCTGATATATATGTTGCTACATTGATTTGCAAAATGATATTTCTCCTTATAGCCCCACTAGTGCCAAGAGGACATCAATGCTTCATTACTTCTAGGTTGATATCAGATTTTTTTCATGCCAAGGTGTCTTCCTAATTCATAAAAAATATGAACACACAATTTGTATTTATTCCATTAGAGAGACTCTTTTATTTATTTTTGTGGAGTTTGAGATTTTATTTATCTTTATATTTTTATTTTATGGATGTTTTGCTTACATGTGTATCTGTTGACTACATGCATGTATAACCAGCAGAGGCCAGAAGAGGGTATTTGGTCCCTGGAACTGGACTTGCAGGCAATTGTGAGCCACCATTAGAGTGCTAGGAACAGAGCCTGGGGCCTCCGGGAAATCAGCAAGTGCCCTTCACCTCTGTGTCATCTCTCTAGTTGTTCACATTTTGGAATATCTGGGAGGAATGAAAGTCCTTCAACTAGGCGTACACTGGACCACCAAGTCGCCTTCTACAGCCTAGGCTGGGGAATTCTAATCTTAAATAATTCACTAACAATTCTGAGTTTTCATAGTCTACACTATGGACTGACAGGTGAAAATTACATTGTGGATGTTAGACATGCTTAACATTTTACATAGTACATTTATTTCTGTCAAGAATTTTATATTCATATTATTAATTAAAATTCTTGATTCTTTGTATCACTGAAAGATTATTTGGTACAATGGAAACCAATGTACCACAATTGTTTTTTTGTTTTTGTTTTTGTTTTTGTTTTTGTTTTTTTGTCTGCTCATTGTTGGCACTATGTGAGGCCTTGGTGAGAATACAATCAGTATGAAGCATGGAAACAATTCCACGTCTGGTACTGAGAACAGGCTCTGGCCATAGGAGGTATCAAGGAACTGTTCTCAAGTTTGACATGTGGCCTAATGGCTTATTGAGAAAAGATTGTTAACTGATAAGTGGTACAAAAGGAAAACAGCTTGTGTGTATGTGTGTGTGTGTGTGTGTGTGTGTGTGTAATATTTTGGCACTTTTAAGAAAATGAGGCTAAAGGTTGTTTTTAGTTTGCTAAGCATAATGTCAGTAACTATGTACGGAGGCTGAGCTGGAGCCAAATTGTATTGTACAATAAAGAGAGTTGCGATGAGTTGATGAGGAAACACAAGGAGGAGCTGAAATGTGTGGAGGGGGGAGTCTCATAGTATACAGGAAGAGACTGGGTGTGGGAAGGGTTTGATAGCAACATCCACATCCACTATTCTGCATGTGGCCAGAATTCTGTGCAGTGAGTGATGCCTATCTTCTGCCCGCCATAATCATCACTAGAATGCATTGCTTTATGGCAAACATTGGGAATCAGGGAGTACAAAGGAGGAAAGGAGTCATCAAAGACACCCCAACCCCCCAGTTTAAGGAAGTGTTTGCGTGGAGGATTTAGAACTTTGCACAGTGATAAGAGTTAGAAGGAGTGTAAAAGCAGTGCCATCACTCAAGTGAATAGCCTAGGTGACCCATAGAAGACGACTGAGGGAAACTGGGATTTCAGTAAACTCAGCTGACTTGGCAAGTCTTAAGGAAGGAAAATATTTACCTTGGAGTTTGAAACAGGGTGGACAGAGAGACACAAGAAGGCGAAGAGTCAAAGATGGTGAGATGGCAATGCAAGCTTATTATTGAGATGAACTCAGTAAGAGACTACAGAAAGGAAGGAACCCACACTTTTTCCTCTCTACCTTTTGATTGCTAAGACTGTGCTGTGCCCCTGGTCATTCTTCAGTTTTAAAGGTATATTAAAGACTACTTTTGTACTCAAAGTAACAAAATACAAGTAGAAATACAATATTTCCAGTATTTGACCAGTTTTTGCCCTACAAAAAAATGACAGTTGCATGTAATTCACCTTGAATTTAAACTCCATCAACAACAAAGATAAAAATAAAAATACACTCCTAGGATAGAAGAGGCAGCCTATGTTAGCAAAGTTATACGGAACCCAGCTTTGACCATGGACAAACTCTAGCTCTACTCAGTGACTGCGTTTTCTTGAGTGTTAAACGAGACTGAATATGACTGTCAGCACATTGTGTAAGCTTTCAGCTCCTATTAGCATACACTGAGGCTGATTCACCTTGTTGCTCAAGTTCTCAAGTCTCAGCTGCCCCTAACATTGCTGGTCTCTATGGACAGCCTCTTTGGCAAATTTA